CAGACGACCTTGGTATGCTTTGGGGTCACACCTGTCGGCATCGTCTAGCGTGGGCCTGAACGTGTTGTTCCTTTTTTGTGTGTGTGTGTGTGTCCTCAGCGCTGCGGTTCGGGTGCATTAGCCTTTTGCGCGTGTGGCTTTCTCGTGTTGGGGATTTGTCCTTTTGACCCCTCATGTCCGCTGTTGTCCGAAAAGGGTGTCGTTAAACTTAATTTGAAAAAATGAAAACAAATCACATCCGGCAAACTGGGCTTTGTAGCCGGCGACTGGGCTTATTCGCCGGCGGATTTTGCTATGTAAAATTCCGTCCCAAGCTGATGTGGCTTTAATACGCGGCTGGGCTTATTAACCGTGCGCTTAATAGCCGACGACTACTGTACTTCTTATCTCTGAAGATGGACTCCTATAAGAGTTCGGAAACTCAGAACAATACATTTATTGAGCCGGTTCTCGAGCCCTCTTCTTCCTCATTTAAACTAAGTTTCAACACCGAAAATGACACTGGGTCCGTAAATAATGCCTAAAGCAAGACTGTCACCTCTCGGTTGAACTTCGGCAAAAAAACTGCGATAAGAAATGCCGAATTTAGGTTCATGGGATAACTGTTCGAAATACCGTTTATCAAGAGTCACATAATATTTGTTGTAAACTTACGAATTATGATCTTAAGTTGGTTTGGCAAATTTAGTTAAGTTTAGGTGACCCAATTATGAACAAACTCGCGGCTGCGAGTTTGTTCACAATTGGGTCAACTGAATTATGATCTGCTAAATCCCTGTTTGTGACTCCAGGTCATATTTCCTTTAAAGAAATGAAAATGTATTTGTTTTCAAATACTTTATTCCTATTACTTTATTGTTATATTTCGTCCTCTACCATTTTGCTCATAGTGTCAGCGCGTAGAATTCTTGAGTTTCCACGTATCTTATTGGATGCAAGTGCTTCCCTGTCGAGTCTCGTTATATTATAGGCTGCCAGATCAGTCAAAGCCCTTCGAATTTAGTCGTCTACTTAGTCCTACGGAGTAAGTTCTATTGCCTGAACACGTCACCAAGTATACACATTTGTCGCGTAGAACTTTCCACTGTCACTTAGCACCGCAAATTGCGGAGACAAAACAATTATACTCTTCTGCAGTTTTTTTGAATCCGCGCATTATATGGACCAAAGAGAAATGCTTAATGGGATCAACATCAACATCCATCAAAGTCTCTTAAGTCCAAAGGCCAGTTTTTGTGTGCTACAGTTGCCACCACTCTTGATTTGCCGGTCTGGTGTAAATAAAATAACCTCATGCAAGGTGAGGCGTTAGCTTTGACACCACCCGTTAAACTACTCCACAGCCACTTTTAATCCCAATCCACTCCCGCAGGCGTTTATGAGCGCCTCATGAGTTGTAGAGATATCTGCAACAGTCCCGGCGAACAGGAACAACCACACAGTTACTTTGACAATGGAACCGAGCGAGTGTCTGAAATGTCAGTCTCAAAATAAATCGGTCCATATCCTCGTACGTTCTTCTTCCTCTTCTTTGGGGGATGGCTGTGGATGACTACCATTATGTATTACCCTCCCCTCCCCCTATTCATAAAGGCTATTTATATGAAAGAACCCATATGCATGCTCGCAAACTGGTCTTAAGGATTCCTCGTTGGAAAGCTGTGCAACACTGGATTTCATAAAGCAATACAGGACATCGTGCATAATTCGTATTTGTTGTGTATCTATAAGACATTGTGAATAAGCCTGTGCATTACAAATATTAAGTCAAATTTTGATAAAATCTTAGATAAATCACAGATAAGAGGAAGGTGTGTAGGTAGGATGCCGTGAACATCTTTCCGTCTCTAAAAAAGAAGTCAAATTGATTGTAGATTGAATGATTGTGCAATATATAACAATACAGTTATTCGTAAAACGAATAATTTTAAAACATTATCTACCTTCCTGTGATTATATGAGGAGACCCTGTGCAGAAAATATAAACGGAAATGTAAAAGCTGTTTCACATTTAAACGTTACATAGATATAAGCATATAAGTAAATAAATCATAAAACGTACGCCTGAGGGGGCAACGAAAGATCTAATTTGGATAAAGATAAAGTATTAAAAATATGTAAAAAGCCGAATTTAAGCAAAAATGCGTAACATTGTTAAGTTTTGCATTTTATTTTACTATAACAAACTTTTCATTGAGGATTTATATAATTTTTAATACACTTAATCCTTCTTCACTTTAAATGTATGAATATGTAGTAATTTTATATAGGAATCGCAATTAATGCCTATCCGACTGAAAGGTTTGACGAAAACTACAAGAAAAGCACAAGCGCAAAGTGTCAAACCTTACCCCACGTCGGAGATCTCATCGGTAGACCTGCTGAAAAAGAGTGCGCCCCATAATGCATACGAACTAACAGCGTTACAATTTTCAAAGTTTTCGAAATTCTGTGTTACTGAGCAGCTTTCTTTAAAGAATAACTTTCCTACGGATCACAAGCAAACCCATTTAATTCCGTATATTTGCATTTATATCGCTGGCTTACCTTTTGATTTTATTGCAGATAAATATGAGAGCTATCACGATCAGAAAGACGCCAGCTGCAACTCCCGCAACAATGCCCGCAATCGCACCTCCGCTCAGTACCGTAGGAGCTAGAAACAAGGCGGATAGCGCAATTGATATATGCTTCTTAAAAATGCAGCTAATTACCATGAGAAGCTTAATTGCATTCACAAAAATTGACTTTAAAAAATATTTCACAGCCACTGGGGGTGCAGAATGTAGTGTTTAATAGTTGCCACTCAATCAACATCGATCAGAATACTCAACAAATTAGGTACTTATACATTACAAAATGGCTCATGCAATCTTTCACAGGATATATAACGTTCAACAAAGGGAAATGTATAGAGTTATCGGATTATCGAAAAATCCGTAATAATCTCTATGTATTGTATGCTTGTAGAGTCAGCGGATCCTACTCTGGAAATAACGAGGTGTAAATGAGAATTGATTATTAAAAAGCACCATTAAACCTCAAGCTGAATATATAAAACCCTTATTAAAGTAAAATGCGCAAAGTTGGTAACTTTTTTTATTATAGTGGAACATCTGACCATATCAGTAATTGTATCATGGGGGCTCGATGGCCCAAACCAAGTGCATGCAAAATGGTAACTAAAATGAACGTTCTAAGTTATCACGAGAATAAATACGTACAATAGGAAACAACAAAGAACAACAAAGATAATGCGTGGTCATTTGTGCATGCAAGCTCAAGACGGATACAAAACAAGAGCGAAAAGGAAAAAAAAAACTGTGCGAGTAAAATTCTAACGTAATTGACAGGCTTAAGATCTATGGGGCAGTAGTTGAAAGTTATCCTATAAAGCTGTGACCATGTAGTCTTCTTAAGATATTAAGTTTCATGCACAAATACAGGAAGGTAGATTAATCACCTATCTACTATTTTGCCCCAGCCGGAGGGTAAGCATGCCTATACATTGCAACCATTCCCTCTTCGACAACGGCTATTTTTTTGCACAGAAGCATCGCCACAGCATAACCCTGGCGCAGCTGGACTCTGAGTAAAACGCAAGGCTCATGGCGCGAGGAGCATGACAGTAATCAACAGCATTCCGGGAATACAGTTCAATTTCGCCTCCCACAATCAATATTTGATCTTCTAAATCGCACTCGCCCCATATTCACACCGATCAGTCTGCTTTTACAGCAGATAGCAGGGTGAAGCCCACATCAAACAATCGCCTTGTATGATTTTGCGTAGATTATGCGGACAAAAGTGTCGGTGTTCCCGCAGAATATTCTCATCTAAGTGTTCATCAGCCATATCCCAGTTCGAGCATTCGCCATACAATTCCGAAAAAAATACCTTACAAAACTTCCGCGATGTAAATTCGGAAAAAAATAACTAGCGAAAGATATGTACTTACTATTGTTATTGTCATCGGTCGGGGGTAATGCAGCTTCAGTGGTCGTTTCTACAAAGAGAAAAGAAATTGCTAACGCCGTGAATAAAATGGCCTTAAACTCTTATCAATGTAACACAGACCACCTTATAAAATTGAGAAAATGTTTTATTTATTGCAACAATAAATGCACTGAATTCCTGAATGTCATGGTAAGCTAAGATGAATTTACATGCAGCAAAAAACAGCTTCATACTGTCACAAGCTGCGCACAGCACGTTTCATAAAGGTGACAAAATGTGTTCTAACTCAACGCGAAATGCACAGCATTTATGAAAGATGCAATGGCTGGGAGGGCAGAACACAGTGTAATTTACGCAGATGTAGTTAATGGACAAGCAATTCATGTTGCCTGCGGAACAATGCTCTTGCACAGTCATCCATAAGCTTATGCTGCCGTGAGTTTCGTGAAGCACGCTTAATAAATTCGAAAAATAATTTTTCCCATCCTCATGCAAAGATGTATGTCCAAACACCAGAAATCACTTTCAGAGTGTCACAAGCTGTGCACACCACGCTTCATTAAGTGAGAAGTACGTTTTCTGATGCAGGGTGGAATGCATAAACGTTATAAAAGATGCAGTGGTTTAGGACGTAATTCCACCATACACGAATCAGTGTCCACGTGGACACAATTCAACCTGACACATGCTTAGCAATAATGACATTGAAAGTATGTAGTTAATACATCATATTTCTGCTAATAATAAACTTCCAAATCTTACATGTGCAAAGCTATTGCAAACTATTGGCAAAGGCCTTCTCTGATGCGCTGGTCAACTAAAATCAAGCAAATCTGCCAAACCTCCTAATAATTCAGAGAACCGCCCTTTGCGTCAAACCTCAGTGTTGTGAATGCACGATGTGTAGATTACTATTAAATGCAAACGTACCATTAGATGGCGTTGCAAAGATCAAAGTTATAGTAAAAACTCCCATAGAAACCACAAAATATGAATTATCCAAATATCCTCTCTGTGGGTTGTAGTTGGCTTTCTAAGGAACTTTCAATACCAGTCAATCAATGTCTATGAGTGCAAAGCAAAAGCTGAAAATGCTATGTTTAATCTGCTGGATTTCAACCCGTTGCCATATGCGGCGCATTAGCAATCTACGTTAGGAACTTGGGACAGTAATATAAATAGTGGTATTGCTTTCTATAAAATGTGCTAATTGTAGCATTCTGTCCCCAAGAACCACGCTTAACCTGCGACCTGTCTTTTGTCACAAACCTTGGTCAACCGAATCACTTTTTCAACATCGATAGTGAAGGTAGTCCTCACGCAAAATGAGACATGCTTTGTCCCCATGATTGAAAACGATGTAGTTTAGTTTCAAGCTATGCCCACCTCTCGTCTGCTATTTAGATAGAAGTTATCTTAGGAGAAAAGCACAAAATTAGCTGTTAGCCGTATATTAGAGCAGTTTTAATTCCAATCATAAACCATCTTGCGTACCGCGTCGTCCTGAAGTGTTTAAAATAATATCCTCTAAGATATTGTAATGTGATATCTGTTCAACAATGAAGAAAAACATGATCGGTGCAGAGTCAAACTAGTTACTGATGTCGCGGTGTTTATTCTCAGCACGACTTAGCTATCACTACATCACAATAAGAACGGTGATTATATATGTCTTAGCATGGTCTCTGTTAGACTGACATCGAACACTTCTACTTTTTCACTTATAAACTTCTTTCGTAGGACCTAGTGGAACCATACTTGTATATGTATGAACTTATTTCTGCAAAATAAGTATGACAGTGCAACGCGAGGACCTCAAGTCAAACGAAACGAGTATAAAAGCGCACTTTGAAATTAGTATCAACGTACCTTCAGAAGGCGTTGAAGGGGCCAAGGTTGTGGGTTTAGGTTTGTCTATAAGAATAAACACATTTGCATTAAAATGTCGTCGATATAGACAGAAACTGACTTTGTCAGATAATTGTAACATGTGGTAAACAACGTTTTTGAAGTTAAATCTGTAGACTTTGTAAAAGGTAGTCTAAGTGCGCTTACAATTTCCGCTTACAACTTTTTTAATATTCGAAGTGTTAGGGCCCAAGAACGATATCCATGTTATATGTTTATTTATACTTACTCGCACATGAGCAATTTCATTCGTCACTGCAGGCAATTTCTGATTATTTGGAGTTGGACTAAGGTAAACTTCGGATATTACAACCCGTGTAATGCACAGTATACCGATGTCGATTAAAAATAAAATACTATCTGGAGGAAGACGCCTAGAATCAAATATCGCCATTCATAAGTGCACCCCTGTTTAACGACAGTAGTCCACTAAATATTGATGTTAATATGGTGAGTGCTGCAAGCAAATGTGCCGCAATTTGCGACTCTCTGGTTATCACTCGCAAACTTGTACTAAGTAGGGTTGCAGTGTATATTCTAGTATATTTAATTACGCAAGGATGCTTGCCTTTAGAAAGTTTTTTTTTCTGACCGCTTAGAAAAAGTAGATGCGGCACAAAGTGATACTTAAATATTATGTTTTTGTCATGGATTTTGACTGCCTCTATACATTTAAATATACTTTATGGAAAACCTTCACGGAATAATTCTTTCTTGTATTCTTTTGGTAGCGCATAACATCTTTTGTTTTCAATTTTATACTTAAAGATCAGGTGTCCTTTGTTTTCTTCAAAACTTCCGAACTTGCCGAATAAATTTGAAATTTACCGACTGCTTCACAGCATGTTGTGCACATACAGTTAAAAGAAACACCAGTTAAATGTAAAGAGGGCGTAATCATATTTCAAATTGCTACAAGAAAAAAATCATTTTGTGCATGTTTTCTATAAAATTTATTTGAAATTATAAAGGCAGGCAGAACGGGACAGGTCAATCTACGCCTCATACATAGCATGAATAATTGTAAACGCTATGTTATCTGTCAACTATCACTGTTCAAGTAAAGCAAAGATATCACTCATCATGCAAGAGGTTGGCAATTTATTATCCTTCTAAATGTATACATATGTGCTCAGCGACCCCATTGTCTTGTGTCTTGGTGCTCACTTAAGGAAACTGCAGCCACACGACTGCTATTTTAGTACAGACAGATAAATAAATATTACTGTAAGGATAAAGACTAGCAGATATAT